GGGTGTGGGTGTGGGTGGGTGTGGATGTGGGTGTGAGACTTCTCGTGATGTCGGTACCCACACCCACACCCACACCCACACCCACCCACACCCACACCCACACCCACCCACACCCACACTTAAAAGAGATCAGCTCTCGAAACAATGATACAAAAGACAGATTTGAAGACCCGTTCACTCGTTACAGAAAACTTGTCAGAAGGAATCGATGAACCTTCTAATTTGCCATTAGCATTCTATATTCGAGGAGAAGTTTCTCTACATTGAAGGAGAGGGGGTCTTCTAATATGTCCATGGCTTTCTCTGTTGTTGTAAATGAAATCGCACTCATACTGTGCTTTTCTCGTTAGTTACATACTATGTCTTAGTATATAAGAACCTTGAAAAGCACAGTAGATTCATCATCTGTCTCTTTGATTCATTCTGAGTCAATCTTTTCTCAGCCACTGCTGTTCACTCGTCGAATCACATCGTCGTCATCAATTAGGTAGCGGTTCTCATTGAAAATCATTAAAACAAATTGTAACCAGAGAGCTTCGTATCATATCATATTTTCGATTTCAAAAGATACGTACCAATGGAGTGAATTGCATGAAATTACGCGTGTCGAATCAGGGCTAATACCTTGAACGTTTAATGCAATAAGAGTTTCGTAATTACCATTTATTTAATAAAAAAGAAGATGTTCCAAGAACTTTAGGATCATCATATGTAGATTTTGTCCTGGACTTAAATATCGTTTCACATAGGACTATCGCTATTGTTGGATTTAGAACTTGACCTTAGTTGTGGATCTTACAATTCAATTTAGATTTCGGACTTGTTTTCAATTCAATACTGTCTCAACTTTGGAGTTATGTCAGAATGAAATTCAATCTGAACACTAAATCCAAATTGTAACATTCCTAATAGGGTGCATAGTATGCATGATATCTTTCCTCTTCCTACTATTTCTTCTTACCTTATATATTGATCTTATCCTTCTGTCTTTATTTCGTACATCGTGTTGTACTTTGTCTCTATTATATTGTCTTTATCTTTTCTTGTTGTTCTCATTTTTCTTTTGCATTCTTTTTTTCTCTCTGATGAATAAGTATATAAGCGTATACTTTGTATAAAAACGATGGGATTCTTGATAGGAAGAAATACAATAAAGCGTAGTTCCAGCAGTACTAGCTCTTCGTCTATCTAAAACCCATCACACAAATCTGTATAAAATACATTCTATCTCATATCAATAGTAAAAGTTTACGATTGTTTCCTTTTCTCCTGTTACTTTAACTTATGTAATCATCACATTTGAGTAATTTAAGACTATATCTTACTTAATATTGATTTAGGATATTAGACTTAACGATAATGCTACATCCTTGATAGAATAATTTTTTCCATAAATTTGCACACTAGGAAATAGCAGAGATCTATATTAAACCTAAAAATCGAGACGACGGCGCCATAGCCACAACGTCTCTAACGAAATAAAAATTGAGGAGTAGCTGCGCTAGCAGGTTATCGCTCGACGACTGTCTTGTGATCAGCGGAGAATTATTTTCTCAATCTTTTTATACTTAGGGCATATAAATAAAGTCTTTACAGAGCTATATCAATTTCTTATGGAATGCTTGAAGAAATTTTCTTTTTTTATGTAGTGATAGAGAAAACAATGCTCTGTTTTTCTATACTATTTTATCAATCTTCAACTAATCCAATAATAATAAAATTTCGATAAGAACTGTTTTTGTATAAAACTTAACTAACGGATAAGGCAGATTAAATGTTTCAATCGCTTAATATATTCTATTCAAAAACAAACTGTAACACAAGATGCAGTATGAAAAGCTCTACAATCTACAAAGCAGAGTTTATTTTAACCGTGTATTTCTCGTCAACGAAACCAAAATTCTCTGCGACTAATTTTCAGCACCGGAAAAAATCATGTGAAGAGAAATTCTGTTTTTCTTATTTCATATATAAAATAAACTGTTCTTTATAAGTTGTAGAACTTTTCACGCTGCATCTTATGATATATTTTGTCTTTTAATACAATATATTGAGTGATTGAAAACTGAAATGCAAGGTGTCTTAATCTGCCTTATCCGTTAGTGAAGTTTTATACAAAAACAGTTCTTATCGAAATTTTATTATTATTAGATTAGTTGAAAATTGATAAAATAGCATAGAAAAATAGAGCATTCTTTTCCCTATCACTACATAAAAAAAGAAAATTTCTTCAAGCATTCTATAAGAAATTGATATAGCTCCATAAAGACTTTTGGTATGCCCTAAGTATCTACTTAGGTCATTCCAAAAGTAGTGGCGGAGGTATATCAATTACTTATAGAAAGCTCGACGAAACCTTTTTTCTATAGAGTCTAATAGAGAAAAGAAAGGTCTATTTTTCTATGTTATTTGGTCATACTTTAACTAATGTCATGATAATAAATTTTTGATAAGATTTTTTTCGTTAACATGTTTGCTCGTTGTACTAGCTCACAATGAATCAGACGGGTTAGTTTTGTAGTCCACTAATATATTGTATTAACAACCAAAATATGCCATAAGATGCAGCGTGGAAAGCTCTACAATTTCCATAAGACCACTTATTTTTTAGTTGCATTTTTTGCTTTCAAAATGGACAAAGTTTTGAGTGATCGAACTTTGGTCATTGTAAAAACTGATCGCGTAGAATTTTCCTTTTTTTTCAAATCAATTACAATAAACTTTATGATGTAGATTGTAGAGCTTTTCATACTGCATCTTCTGGTGTATTTTGTTTTTCTTTTGATAAAGCATATCAGGTGATATAATGATCAGATAACAAGAAATGAATTCGTCGTGTATCAAAAACATTATCTTTTTCCGTGATCGAAATTTGATCGCTCAAAATTTAGTCTATTTTAAGAACAAAATGTGCGACTAGAAAATAAGTGGTCTTATGGAAATTGTAGAGCTTTTCACGCTGCATCTTATGGCATATGTTGGTTGTTAATACAATATATTAGTGGACTACAAAACTAACCCGTCTGATTCATTGTGAGCTAGTACAACGAGCAAACATGTTAACGAAAAAAATCTTATCAAAAATTTATTATCATGACATTAGTTAAAGTATGACCAAATAACATAGAAAAATAGACCTTTCTTTTCTCTATTAGACTGTATAGAAAAGAGGTTTCGCCGAGCTTTCTATAAGTAATTGATATACCTCCGCCACTACTTTTGGAATGACCTAAGTAGTTGATCTAGAAAATTTCGAAAATCAAAATATTCGATTACCTGTTAGAAAATAGGAAAGTTACTATAAGAAAAATAAAGAACGAGTACAGAAATACATTAGGACACTATTGTTAATATAGAGTATATTGACAAATGTATTTACAACAAGAGTACAGGAATACTAAGGGAGAGATAAATAAGAGTGATAAGAAGAACGGACAAGACTTTACGCAAATCGAATATATTCTTTATCAACGAAACAGACAGCTGAAACGATTAAAATATCTAAATAGTATGTGTGACGAACATATCATTGAAAGAATAAAAACGAATTTTTAGAGTGTAACCTATAGTGTTCTAATTGAAAACTGTTATTACCACCAGTAGCGGCGGAGCCTGTAGGCCCGGTGAGGCTTAAGCCTCACCTGATTTTGGCTTCTGTAGGCTAAGCCTCACCGAAATTTTGAATTGGAAGTTTAATCGTTTCTATATAACTTCAAATTTTTCTCTAAATAAAATCTTATTTTACTATGAAAATTAATATCTGCCACGGTTTATATGTTTATTGTGATGAAAAACAATACAAAAACACTTGAACAACATAATAAACTTAGACGTAGTGATTCTATTGCATTATAATGATTCACAGCGACATCTTTTGTTTAGACGGAATGGTGTGTGAAATACACGAATCGTAGAATTGTGCGATATCATGCGCACAAAACTAAGAGAAATCTCAGAGATCATCCTCTTTTTTAAAAATGTAATCGTGTTATTCGTCTTATGTTGCGAAGTATAGCCTTAAAATCTTTTTGAAACTTGAACAACAAAGTCTGAAGAATTTTATTGTTTAGCTTATCCAAATATCAACTTACTGAATTTTCTGGATCAATTTCGTTTCATAAGCTTATCAATATCGTATAAAAATGAATTCGGTATTTAATATTTACTGATAAAAATCAAATATTATATTTGTGTTTATGAATATTAATAGGATCCAAAAATATTTTTGATATTCTGATAGTATTGAAATTTTAGATTAGAAAAAAAATGTCATCAAAACGATCTCCATCAATTCTTGAATATTTTTCAAAAAAAACAAAAGGTCAGGAATCATCTCTTTCAACAGAAGATTCTAAGAAACAAATGACTGTAAGTGATCTTAATAATTTTTCAACAAATTTTCGAGATGAAAACAGAAAAACGCTTGCTCTAACTCAGTTTTGAATTCATATTGACCCATCAAGTTTATCTAATATTAATAATTTTCAGGAAAACTATGATCAATCTTCAAATCAATTGAGACTTGATAAGTCTGAGAAACCATCAACCACAGACAATTCAATACCACCATTAACATCTGCAACAAATAACTCATTATTATTATTACCAACAACAACAAAAAAATAATACAATATCATTATCAACAATATCAACTACAATCGATTCAACATCGTCATTAGAACCAACAACAAACAGTTCAACATCATCATCACGAGTAGTAACAAATAGTTTAACATTATTATCACCTATAACAAGAAAAAATAATTCATCATCATTATCACCAGAACTAACAACAAACAGTTCAACATCATCATCACGAGCAACAACAAATAATTTAACTTTATTATCACCAACAACAAGAAAAAATAATTCATCATCATTA